AAATCAAGTTTGCATATTTTAACCATCAATAATCTATACGTATAATTAATAATATATATATAGCTTTAAATCTAATATACAGTATACTAGCAATGCAGATAGACCAAATTAGGTAATAATCAAATTTGGCGGTGGCGCATAGATTTTACGATTCCTACGTACGTACCGAACAAACCTATTGTTATAGTTTTTTTTTTCATCACTGCTAAAGTACTGTATGACACCAGAAAATAACACAAAGTATATGTATAATGAAATTTTTCAAATAATGAATGACAAGTATTTAATAGCGCATAATTTTGGGCATGAAAGACTTGCATCTCTCGTGGTATAGGTGATTCTACTCTATAATCATTGTTTAATAATACATTTTATTAGAGGAGTCACCTATACTGCAAAAAGATCCCCAAATTTAAATCGAAATTGGATCTTGTCAATTGAATTCACGAAACGACAGCATTTACAATAAGAGCACGAATAATCGTTTTTTTATAGTCAAAGTTAATTTTTCACACGTTATCCAAATTATCTAAACCTTGACTTTCGTCATCAACAGTTGATACATCACCATCATTGCCATCACTTAAAGTACCACTTTTTCTTAATCCAATCTGTCTGGCCAATATATCTCTTCTTTTTCGTTCTCTTCTTTCTTCTTTGTGATCCCATGGCTTTCCACCATCCTTCGATGCTCTTCTAGCCCCATCATCACCACTTCCCATACCTTTAAAAAGGTTATTGTCAAGCGCGCTCAATAAATCATTAATTTTTCTCAGAATTTCGTCAAAATTCTGATTACTTAGATTAATAAGTAAATGCAAGTAGGATAAATCCACCAAAAGGTGTATTTTTTGAGTTGATAAATTTAAATATGCGATTGGGGTTTCGAGTTTCATAGAATTACGAATTGCTACCATATGCCTTTTTGAGGTAATCAAAAGACCAGAATCACGGTAACCAATATCAACGGCCAAATTAACAAGATTTTTTGCAGCATCTAAAGTACGAGCTTCAGAGTGTAAAATCTAAAAAGAAATTTGTGTGAAAAGAAATTTTCTACCTCCTAAAAAAAAAATAAAATAAAATAATAAAATAAATACCAACCATTGGATCAAATTTGAAATAAATCAAGTTATAATCATTATTTTGTAACAAGTTATAACTTTCATTATTAAATAATGTTACATTCTCAAAATCTTCACCAAAAATCATTTTCAACAAAAAATTATTAATTAAATCTTTTTCTTTAGGTAAATTAATTTTCGAATGAGCGACAAATAATAATTTTCCACCACCCCCACCACCAGATTTTAAATCTGAATCATCAATATCATCTAAATCATCTTGATGCCTATAAACAACTCCATTTTCAGTTTCACCATGGTTAGTACTACCAGTTGTTAAAGATTCTAGCTTTCCAGAGATGGATTTCCTTGAATTTCTACATTTATTGCTACTAGCATTAGTAGAAATAATTGAAATTTTACCGGAACAACTACTCGTTACGACATAATCCTCATGTTTGTTAATTAATTCGATTATAGGAAAAATTGCTTCATCAATTAATGGAAAAGATACTTTAGAGGACGAATACTTATTAGCATTATTATTATCAGTTCGAGTACTTGTTTGGTCTGTTAATGAAGCTAGAATCTGTTGTTTTCTTGCATGAAAACCAGGTTGAACTGAATGGTAAGTTGTCGGAAGGCGTCTTGAAGCTGTTTGAGGTAGTAATTGAGCCGACATTTTTTTCACATGTTTAATTGAGAACTATTTTATAAATGAGCTTCTTTTTTTTTTTTTTTTTTTTTATTTTTTTATTTATTTAGGTAATAAACGATCAAGAAAAAATTTCTCAATGTTTAAAATCCGCTTTTACACATTGAGGAATTTTATGTACAATACCAAAGTGTTTAAAATTTTTATCGTTATTTACCACAGATTTGGATTAATTTTTGTCGATCCAAATCTCAATGAGGTACTTATAGGGGCAATCTTCCAATCAAAATTGGGACAAACGACACTAAAATTCATTTGATTATCTTTTAACCTAAAATAAGAAAAAGTCAATAACGTTAATGAATGCTTATAAACATGCCCCAAATGAGGTTACTAAAGACAAAATGGATTTAAAAGAAACTCTAGAACAAGAAATACAAATACAAAGCGCGTCATCACAAGAAGTTATAGTAGAGAATAAGGATAATGAATCTACAAGTGAATTTGTTAATGAGGGACTGGAATTCTGGAACAAACGAAGAGAATTATGGACTCGCGAGAATCAAAACATTTCAGGAACTTTTGATAACAAAGATAACCCGGCTTTGTCGAATATTACTCCAAGCAATTATAATTCCATATATGATTCTCTAGTTCATGAAAAGAAAAAGTTGGTAAGACCTGTTCCTTTACCTTATGTGGTATGTATGCGTTTTTTATTTTTATTTTTTTATTTTTCTTTTATTCAAAATTATAGACAATTTAAATCTAAATACTATCCTTTTTTTTAAATGAATTATGATTACTTTATTTTCATAGGTTAAAATATTGGTTAGTGGGTGGAAGAGAGATGGTATTTGGCCTGCTGAACCACCACCGGCTTCTTCTTCCAATACAAATGTTCAAAATGATCAAAAGTCATGACAAGGAACTGGAATTCGATTAATTCAAATTGCATTAGACACGTATGTGAATGAAAAACTTTTTTTTTCAAATCTATTTATTATTATCATTATCATTATTATTATTATTATTATTATTATTATTATTATTATGTAATTTGTAAATAATTTCTTTACGATGTCTATTAAGTTTATTAGATGCAATCATATAGTTTAATATTTCTAATGTCGAAGATAGTAATGTTTTAAGGTCTCAATAAAAAAAAAAAAACTATTATGATTAAATTTAATAAAATTTCTTAATATATCTATTTACAAAAATTACATCTACAACTGCAATTGGACTATTGCTTATTATTAAGTACCTCTTATAGTGTTTGACAGCGCCGAGACTACAGCCAGTGTGTCAATGCCATAACATTAAAAAGCATAGAATAAGATTAAAAGACAATACGGTAAAGGGTAGCACCTAACATGTACATTTTTCCATTTATTAACTATTTCAACTTACATATTGACTTACAGATGGTTTACGAATAAGATGCGTTTAAAATACCGAATAATTTTAAAAAAGTGTGTTGGTCTACGATTTTATGTTTTTACTAATTTACCCCCAGGTTTCTGATTGGCTAGATTTGTTTACATGTTATCTTCTTTTTAAAATATGACG